CAACATTGAAAAAATATTTAAGGTAAAAAGCAAAAAAAAAAACATTGAAAAAAAGTCCCAAAAGAAAGGCTCTAACCCAATAAAAAAAAAAAAAAAAAAAAAAAAAAAAAAGTCAAAAAATAATAATAATTAACAAAAACTTCAAAAAAAAACAAAATATTGTTTTTCAATATATAAGAGTTATATAATATATTAAATATATACAGTTTAAAACAAATATATATATATATATATATATATATTTAATTAATATCTTTATTCCTAATTTAAAAAATAATTATTTAAATCTTATAAAATTTTATAAAAATATTCTTTAGAATATAAAAAAAAAAGATTAAATTTTATTAAAAAATATATATTATTTAATTTAAATTTTAAATTTAAATTTAAAGAAGTAAAATTTATTTGCCAATTAAAAATTATTTTAAGAATTATTATTTAAAAAAATTATTTTAAGAATTATTATTTAAAAAAATTATTATAAAAATTTTAATAATATATTTTATAAAAAATCTTTAAGCAATCTTATTTTTTAAATTTTAAAGAATATGTATTAAAATTTTTTTATATTATTTAAATAATTTTTTATAAAGTTATAATAAAATATTATAGGTGATTTTTTTTGTTCCAGACTATATATAGTATAGTAATAATTATAAGTTTTATATTATTATTATTAAATTTATAATAAAAATATAATAAAAATTGGAATCTATTTATTTGTTAAATTTTTATTTTTCAAATAATAATAATAATTTTTGTTTGTTTTTTTATTTGGGTATTTATTTTTGAAGGCAGACCGGAAATTTTCTGGTGTGATCCTAAAATTTATATTATATATGTATTGTTTAAAGGTTGGTCCAAAAAAATCATATCTAGCATTTTTGTCACCTTCAAAAGTAATTACCCATTTACTAAAAAGTTTTTTTGGGATTTTTTAAAAATCTTGTTAAAAAAATGATCCAATTAAAAAACTTTGTATAAAATTATTTCAATCAGATTATTATTTATTTTTTTAACAATTAAAACTTATAAATTTAAGAAGAAAATAAAAAACAAAATTTTTCAAGAAAATATGAACCTTAATCTAGAACAAAAGCTTCGATTTTAGATTAATAATGAAAAAACTTATGATCGTCACTATATTGTCACAGGGCACTTTGGCAAGTCTGTTGCTTCCTCAAGTATTTTACCTATTGTTAACTTATGATTTGATAAGTTAAATCACCAGAAATATGATAACTGGATCGAGTTATTTTATTAAAAATATATCCATGTCTTTTATATGATAACTTTATTCCAAGCATTTAAATCATTCAAATTATTCCAATTGTTATTTTTCGAATTTATAACAGCTCTCAAACTTATATCGTAAACTATAAAAAACTTGTAAAATTGTGTCTCCATGTAAGATGCCTCAAGTTGCACTTTCCGTATCGACCAGAAGTGCTAAGAATAGTCTTATTTTGCGGAATATATTAGATATGAATAAAATTATTGATTTCTATGTCAAGCACTGAACAATTATAGTTCTACAATTATCCAATCACTTTAAGTAATAGAAAAAAATGTACCAGAAATTATTTCACCGTGCACAAAATGGATATTATCTATTCAAAAATAATTGGAAAAGGTCTTTGTATAATCCCCAATTTGAAAGGAAGTTAGTAGTTCTTTGGTTGCATGGTAATAACGAATTGTAATTTTCAATATTAAGTAGCTTTTACAAATTCCATGTATTAATTATTCTAATCCAAAAATGTCCTAACTTAAGCACTGAATAATAGACTTAAGACATTTAATTCATAAACCTTACAATTCGACGACACCACCTAACCACGTGTTATCAATTCCGGCCTTTACTGTATTAACAACCTCCTTAACGTCATTTTCCAAATGTTCAGATATTTTTAGCAAATCTTCCCAATTTACTGGATTTTCATTATTCGAATCCATATGAATGCCATGTAATTTTCTTAATTCATTACGGTTATGTTTAATTCTACTAATTTTATCCATCACTTCCTGATTAACAAAGCGGTAGACTAATAAAAAGGAATTGTTACTCCATATTGTCAACAAGCCATAGCAATCGTCGGTCCCGCTATAAGATGTACAGTAATTTAAACATTACCAGGTTCATCAATGTCCATCTCAGCTTCGTCTTTTGAAGAAAAATCTTCAAGCCTTCCTAGTATGGCCTCCTCTACGAGTAGTAAAGTCTCGGTCGAATCACATTTAATTCTAAGCTCCGTTGGTATGGAATTTAGAGGAACCGTTTCTTCAATGCAGTTTTCGTCCACTATTCAAGATCAATTATATTTATTAATAAAGAGTTCGTTTAGCAAAATACAAGAAAAAAAAAAAGGATATAATTCTTGAATCATACATCTCCTTAGATTAATAATGACAGGATCCAAGCTCAATGGCGCAATGAACACAGCGTAATCAGGCTTAGTCACTATCTCTTGCAGTTTGGAGCTATAGGTGGAAGAACTTTAAAAATCAAAAGGACTAAGAAAAAGAATTTCATTGAGGATATAACGTACGCCTCAATAGCTTCTCCTAATAACATTGTCAAACACCGATCAAACGCGTCATCTACACTAGGATCCACTGCATCTGTATGCTTAGAATCGCTATTTTTACTTGCTCTTAAGAAAAATTTAATTGCAGCAGACCCACAATTAAGTGATTCTATAAAATCTGAAACTGGCTTTTCCTTTAAATTCAAAAGAGAATAAGTAAAAAACAACGAATTGTATAAAGTGAATACAAATGAATTTTTGTAAGGAAAAATTACTTCTCTGATTGTATTACTTCCGTAAATACTGACAATCGACTCCAATGTCTTCCTGAATTCATTCCTTGTCGCAAAGAAATTTCCATCTAGCGGAGGGACAAATTCAGGCATAGTCGGATAAACGGTAAAATGCCTTTCTTTCTGCAAACGGTGTAAGATATTTGTGGAACATGGTTTTATGAAATCCAATATATCATATTGGACATTGAGCAAAAAGAAATAGCTGGATTTTGCTACATATAATAACATAGGATTAAGATACTTAAGTCATAAGCGGAAGAGATACATAATTTATATATTATTACATTGATAATGTTCGTCATTTGACGTGTTCATTGGCGTAGGGGGAGAAAAGCACAAACCAAGCTTTATCAAGATAGGAAATTGAAGATATCTTAAATTAATCTCAACATCTCGTTCCCTACGAAAACGAGTCATATATTTTTTCCTTTAGCAAGAAAAAACTTATCATTCTGGACCAAGAGTTTTTATTTACTTTACCAGATTACTGTCATGTCACCTAATGAAACCGAATACGACATCACGGAAAAGGGATCATTTGAATTCTTAGTAGAACGAGAATCCGACATATTAAGATTCACCATTCGAATAATTACTGTTTGTTTTCAAAAAATAGTTAAGCACATAAGCTATAGGTCACCATTAGAACAGGAACATTCCTAAAAAGGATACACGACCAATACTGAGACCAATTAATTCCTAGATTGCTCGTCAAGCGTATTTTTAAATATGCTCGATGCACAACGCTTCCAGCTAAAGAAGTTGAAGTAGTTACGGGATAGCATTCGACCTTCAATGGAGGACTCTTATCTTTTGCAGAATCCCGCCTTTTATAAAGGCGCTGCAATTCTGGGATTACCATATTTCTTGCGGCGATGGCACCATTTAAGAGCTATCATAAAAATGAATGTTAAATGGCAGAATTAAACATGATCCATTTGGTAAAGTAAATTGAAGAGCACACACTTCATTAATCTTCTCCAATTCATCCTGCTGGGCTGACAATTCTGCAATTCTGTTTAATTTGATTCTAATCTCGTTTTTCATCTCTGCTGCATTCATCAGATGCTTTGGTTTATTTTCACTAATTATTTAAAAGTATATGAATAGTACGAATCATAAACCGCTTAAAACAGGTGAAACAAAAAATCGGTACTTTGTCATTAAAAAGCTTGCACGAATCAATTTTCCTTCACGAGATAAGGCGTATAATATACCGCCATTAGAACTTTTGTCTTCGTCACAATGATAGCACAACTCAACAATCCCCATCGGAAGATATGCTGGGATCGTATACAATGAAACAAGCTTGTCTGCATCATAAATCAGACACATGAATTAATTATTTAAAACGTGATACTTGACGAAATAATGACATCTTACCCCCTGAAAACACAATATCGTCAAAGTTCATGACAATTATTCTTCCCGTTCCGGCTGCCAATATCAACCGATTCTGCATGAATTATCGTTATTCAGCTTTACCTTCTCATAAGACAACAATAGTAATAATAAGTATTCTATACCTTAAATAAAAACGATGAATGTATTGGCTCGGAAACATAATATTCCTTATAAGCTATAGACTTCTTGTCCGAGTCCCCGTTTGTCTTTGTCGCGACGGCCATTAAAGCTATAGTGCATTTTGTTCTATTGAAATCAAATTAACGTTCCGGTCACATAACTTAAAATATTCTAGTAACAAAAGTTTTTTCCAATTAATTACCGACCCTACGATGAGGAATGCATTGTGAAGTTTTTCGGTAATAGGTGTTCTAACTATTCTTGATTCATCAACTGATTCACGTTTCAGTGATAATGTATAAATGGATTGAATAGGTTCCTAATAACAATATCATCATTGAATACTAATGGAATTAATTATCAAGTATGCTCTTTAGTCAAGATTTGTGAACATACTTTCAAGGCAGTCACGACCCCCGGAGACGGTGCATGTATAACTAATGATTGATAACATATCAAGCCATTTGAATATCCTGTAAGCAACATTTCCTGTTGCAAACTGTAATAATGAATGAGAAAATCCCTATTTCCAAGAACATGAGCATATAAATATTTGGACCAGTCATTCATTACTTTGGTGATCCAAAAGCGATCATTGCTAATTCACTAGATATGCGCGATGAAGAACCAAAATTTGGGTCATTCGCATTTCCAATCTTTTTAGGATCATATGGACATAGTAAACCTTTGTCAAAAATAACATGCTAAATAATCTTCACCACCACATAATTATATTCTTAATCAAAAGGATATCAATTAAACTACATGTGACCTGAGGGTTTTGAGGGTCGCTTCGAACTAATGTTTCAGGCTGAAAGATAATTTTATTTGTGGGAGTTTGGTTAATCAACGATAGAAATCCTATTTCTCCATCGTGACACATCATCATAATGCCGTGGGTATTAAAAAGATTGCATGACCGTATTGCACAAGTGTTTTTCTGATATTAATTAGTAATTTTTAGAAATATATGTTCATAATTATAACTAAAACTAAAGATGATTCCATATTACCACTTAAAATTGCATACCTGATGAAAAACTTTATGACCTTCCGTGACAGTGATTATCGAAGGTGGTAGTAAGCGAGAATGAAACTCTGTTGAATAATCACGATTATGTACTACATTCTGTGTTGTAGTACTGTCACCACTAGACCCGTCGATTTTTCTGACTTGACGTGAAGGAGAATCTTTACTTTCTTCCAATTCCGCTTCGAAATTTCTGTCAATTTACAAATTCCGTTATTATCACTACGAAAAAAAATATTATGATAATATCTACCTCCTTTTTTTAGGCGCTTGTGATTGTATACGCCAGATGGACCCATCGGAAGTCAAAACAAGGAAATTAACTGATGATTGATTCTCCTTCTCCAAGGGTTTGTATAATTTATCTTGTAAAATTTCAACTGGGTCGTTTGAGAAATTCCAAATTTCCCTAAGGATCTCCCTGAAAAACACATGAATTCTGTTTGAAAGCACTTTAACTGCCAGCCAATCTCGCGATGCAACACATTTGATCAGTATCTTTTTTCCGGTTGGTCTTGGGAGTTGATATGAGCTTAGAATTTTGCTCTCCATCTTTAAATAGCATTACAAATTTTCGCGTTTTTTGATATCGATAATCTTATATCACGTGACATGATTAGGAACTATAGACTAGAGAGTTCACTTTAAAACTGGAAACGGGGTCCGAATTATTATTTTAAACTAAAATTTAATTTTTTAAAAATTATTGAATATATTTTATGTATGCAGGTTTATTATAATTTAAAATATAATGTTATTTATTTATTTTTATTATAATTTATTTAAATAAATTTTTTTATATAGAAATTATCAGATATTAAAAATACAAAAGTGTTTACTTTTTGTTTAAATAATAAAAAATAAATTTTTTAAGATATTAAAAACAAATATCAGAAAATTTTTAAATTAAACTTGATATTTTATTATTAATTAAAAATTTTAATAAATATTAGGTTTAACTATTATTTTTTTATTGAATTTGTATAATATAAAATATATATTATAAAAAAAAAACCATATGTTTTTATATATAAATACAATAAATTAAGACCTATGGGTCTATAGCTTAGTGGTAAAGTTCCATAGGTCACCAGGTGAAGGTTTAGGGTTCAACCCCACCTGGTTACAAAAATTTATTATCTTCATGATTAGTTGACTGGCTTCCAATTCATGTCGTATCCAATTAGCCGCAAATCTTCTTTCAAAAATTAGTTAGGCTGCATGAAGATGGGACCTCTGGTCTTCCCGACGATCGCGGGCTGAAAACAGGTCGAAGCAAAGAAGATTGCACGAGGAAAGGCTTCTGGTCTAACTCCGGTATAAGCTCACAACTCTAACCAAAACTGGCGATGGCAGACTCCATTACACAAAGAACATTCTAACCTGGGACTATCCCAATCCGGCACTTGCTTAAAAGAAGGTTATATCTCGAAAAAAGGTACTTGGTATAATCGGAAGCCGCAGGT